GGCAGCGCGTCACCGCGCGTCACTCCCGGATAATCGAAGATGGGCAAAGAGGCGGGAGCTGGTTGTTGAAACCACGCCCACCTAGCACCTAACTTTAAGGCTTAATATAATTTAAATGGATGAGTTATAAAAAAATTCACCCACCTCACAGTTGTCATGAAGGGCAAAATTAGCTATATAGACCAAAATCATTTTTTGAACCAGGCTGTAAACATGTTTTTTTCTGCTGTAAAGTTGGGCATTTTAACATGGGGAGTCTATGGGATTGACTCCCTTTTGGAGCCAGCCTCTAGCGGCCAGTTGATGAATTACAGTTTAAGTCACTTCCTTGTTGGCTTCACGAGAGAGAGCGGGAGGTTGCCGCTTAGTGGTAATACAGTACATCGGGCAGGACATCCTATCGCTCGCCTATCATTTATGGCTTATCATCTGAAATCGGTTAGTAGCAGCAACTTTACATGGACGTTCAATATAATGATAACCTAGAGAAATGTGCGGAGTGTGTAAGCTGAACATTAGTGCTCACTGCAGGACAGATGGAGGCACCAGAGCGGTCACTTGCACTTAAAATACTCCTTCATTTTTGGTCATACAGATAAGAGTAATACATATGTGACCTGTACTGTCAAAATGAGCAAATTTTCAAAATTGAGTTATTTTTATTTTACATTCTCTATTAAAATACCTTCAAAATGATGTATGATTTGTTGGAATCGGATGAAAAATGACTGAGCTACACCTGTGTGAAGTCGATGGAGTCAGCAAAGTAAATTTAGAGAAAAACTGATTTAAAGTTTTCTGAAGATTCCAAAGCAAAATCACCCAGCAACATTACATCTTTCCCCCCACTTCTTTTCTTAATAATCATTACTAGATTAATAATCACAATATAGCTGTTTTTTATTAAAAAATTTGTTGTTATAAATAAGCATTCAAATAAGAACAACAAATAGTAAAATGTAAAAATCACTTAAGTGTGTTCATTAAAAATAAATTGATTATTAAAACTACAAAAACCGTTCAATCAAGCAGCGAGTGATTCCCTCTTTTCTTTTATTGTTTGATTAACATTGAGACAGACGGCCTATATTAAGACATAGTGTAATGCACGGTTTCACATCCGATGTTTTTCCCCAAAAGTTCCCCAAACGTTCACTTAAGTTATAACAGATTGTGTTTGCGTGACTACTTAAATATATTTAGCCTACTGTAAATCTGTGTATATGTGTATCGGGATAGAGCACCGTCGGTGTCTGTTGTCTTTATGTGTGTGCTTCGGATGAGAGGCAGCGCGAGAAGCGAGTGGAGAAAAGGTACTCCTCGCAGAAAACAAACAAATAAAGATACTTTTAGATGTTTAATTACTATTTGGAGCACTGGGATCGCTAGACAAGGGCTTAATGAACTAATTTTTGTGAAAATCTCAAATTCGACCAAAATCGACATTTTTTTGCTTTTTTTGCCCGTAGCTCAAAATTAGCTGTGCGCATTACTACTCATTTTGCAAGCACGGGTCACATATTTAGAATCTTTAAAGACCTTAAGTTTATTTGTGTGCACTCACAATAACAACAAAACATTGCGCTTTTGTAAAATAATGAAAGCAAACAGGATGCGCTTTCTGCCGTCTCGGTCTCTGTGAACTTTAGCGCAAAACGATATGCTTGCCGACATGAAAAATATATCTATATCTATAGAGAGTGAAATGTCTACTTTTAAATGAACCAATTCAAATGGAAAACAAATATTTTCAGATTATGTAATCCGTATGAAACATGTATACAGGCAGAGATGACGAGTCAGTGTCTCCAACTTCATCTCTTAAGCCGAAAACAAAGAAAGCACTAGTTTATCAATAAAGTAAAATATTAATGCAGCTTCTTTGCTGTTTTTCCCGACTCATTCATAATCATTACTTCTGCCGGTGTGCTGTGGAAAGCTTTATGCGTGTGCTTGAGCGCTTATTAGGCTATGTAGGCAATTAAAGTCTCATTATAATGATTTAAATGGTTTATTAATAAACGTGCGATTAGTCGACTAATGCTTAAAATGAATGACTACTAGTCGACCCGAAAAATCTTTAGTCGAGGGCGATTTAAAGTTTTCTGAAGATTCCAAAGCAAAATCACCCAGCAACATTACATCTTTCCCCCCACTTCTTTTCTTAATAATCATTAATAGATTAATAATCACAATATAGCTGTTTTTTATTAAAAAATTTGTTGTTATAAATAAGCATTCAAATAAGAACAACAAATAGTAAAATGTAAAAATCACTTAAGTGTGTTCATTAAAAATAAATTGATTATTAAAACTACAAAAACCGTTCAATCAAGCAGCGAGTGATTCCCTCTTTTCTTTTATTGTTTGATTAACATTGAGACAGACGGCCTATATTAAGACATAGTGTAATGCACGGTTTCACATCCGATGTTTTTCCCCAAAAGTTCCCCAAACGTTCACTTAAGTTATAACAGATTGTGTTTGCGTGACTACTTAAATATATTTAGCCTACTGTAAATCTGTGTATATGTGTATCGGGATAGAGCACCGTCGGTGTCTGTTGTCTTTATGTGTGTGCTTCGGATGAGAGGCAGCGCGAGAAGCGAGTGGAGAAAAGGTACTCCTCGCAGAAAACAAACAAATAAAGATACTTTTAGATGTTTAATTACTATTTGGAGCACTGGGATCGCTAGACAAGGGCTTAATGAACTAATTTTTGTGAAAATCTCAAATTCGACCAAAATCGACATTTTTTTGCTTTTTTTGCCCGTAGCTCAAAATTAGCTGTGCGCATTACTACTCATTTTGCAAGCACGGGTCACATATTTAGAATCTTTAAAGACCTTAAGTTTATTTGTGTGCACTCACAATAACAACAAAACATTGCGCTTTTGTAAAATAATGAAAGCAAACAGGATGCGCTTTCTGCCGTCTCGGTCTCTGTGAACTTTAGCGCAAAACGATATGCTTGCCGACATGAAAAATATATCTATATCTATAGAGAGTGAAATGTCTACTTTTAAATGAACCAATTCAAATGGAAAACAAATATTTTCAGATTATGTAATCCGTATGAAACATGTATACAGGCAGAGATGACGAGTCAGTGTCTCCAACTTCATCTCTTAAGCCGAAAACAAAGAAAGCACTAGTTTATCAATAAAGTAAAATATTAATGCAGCTTCTTTGCTGTTTTTCCCGACTCATTCATAATCATTACTTCTGCCGGTGTGCTGTGGAAAGCTTTATGCGTGTGCTTGAGCGCTTATTAGGCTATGTAGGCAATTAAAGTCTCATTATAATGATTTAAATGGTTTATTAATAAACGTGCGATTAGTCGACTAATGCTTAAAATGAATGACTACTAGTCGACCCGAAAAATCTTTAGTCGAGGGCAGCCCTAGTGTTTTCACTGCTTGACTGTAGAGGTGAACATTTTTAAGACGTAACAAGTGGACTTATTAGAGCGTCTCATTCTAGCATTAAATGCTGAGAAGATGTGTGGCCTGGAAGCCTCAGAAGGACTGGACTGGGAAGGACACAGCTTTACTAGGATGCAGCTTTGAGAAGCACACTTGGTTTTTGAATGTCTTTTCAACTATTAGACAACAGTTGAATGTGCCACCGATGGACTCCAGACAGTCAGTGTGCAGAATCAATAGAGATGATCCAGAGAAATGGGATGCACCTTATCTAAATTTAAAGTGTTATGGCAATGGGTTATGGTTATGGGTCTGAATACTTATGTCAATGTGATTTTTCTTTTTAATTTACTGTTTCTATTGTTGTGGGTCAGACAGCGGTGGAAATATACGTAATGCAAACAGTGTTTCATTTAATATGCATATGTTTTGTGATAAGGTTTATTAGTGAATGTGCAGAATTAATATATATGATCTTGCGTTATTGTTGGATAGTTGTCATTGCTCTTGTCCTCATTCATAAGTCATGTGCATTTCATGAATCTGTTTTATTTGGGACGTGTCGAATGTGTCTTTGACTTCATGCTTTGGGAGCTCTTATAATGAAAGAGTGTCATTCATCACTTGTGCTGTCATTTGAAACTTATCCTAAACCAGATCTAATACCTGAACAGCTTGATTTATAAACAGTGTATCACTCATTTGTTTTCTAAGTGTGTGGCTAAAACTATAGGTTTAGTGTTTTGTTCAATTCTAAAATACTAAAAATTCTCTTTTAGGGGCTAGTTTTTATAGTTATCTTAATACAAAAATCTAAGGCATGTTCTAATTTAAATAAATTCCACATAGAATATGTATCCACAGGCTTTTGCAAATCTGGAACAATTGTTAGTCACACTTTATGCATTGCTTTCACTGTACATGTTTGTTTATTAAATATTTTAGTTATTTGAATGTGCTTTAAGCTAATAATAGTAGTGAGCTCTGTTTAAAGGGGTGCTATTATGCTTTTTCACTTTTTCAACTTTAGTTAGTCTGTAATGTTGCTGTTTGAGCATAAAAAAGATCTGCAAAGTTACAAAGCTCAAAGTCCAATTCAAAAGGAGATATTTTGTTAAACAGAAATCACTTTTCAAAACTACAACGAACGACTCGTTTGGACTACAACGCATATTTTCCGGGATTTGTGATATCACAAATATCGACGAATGGGACGAGACCTGGTTGAGCTGCACTAGAGAAGGCAACGAGTGTTATAACTATGTCGGAGCTTTCCCAAGGCAGACGAACTTAGAGTGGTTACAATCATCCGGGTTTAAATCGAGCTCAAATTGATTTGATTTTGACGCAATATTTACACTGAAGCTCGCAGGCGGCTATGGTAAGGGGCGTGACATTTCCCGACCAGGCGCCGAGTGCTGCCAATCACAGCACACACTGGCCCAGCTAACCAATCACAGCACATTTCGTATTTCAGAAGGCGGGCCTTCATTTGATACAGGAACTATTCGAGCCGTTCATGCCAGACTGAGGAGAGAGGTGTTGTAATAATGTAAAATATGTGAAAAATAATGTGTTTTTCGAACAACCTAGTATGAGAGCCTGTTCTACACCCCCAAACCAAAATCAAGACTTTGTCAAAGAGCATAATAGGACCCCTTTAACACATTTTACCATATTTAAATCGGTTTTTCAAAATTCTTTTAAATTTATTTCCCCAAAATCAACTGCGCAAATGTGAAAAGAGCTCCAGTGCTCATTTACAGTGACCCTTAAGTTCACACAGGTATCGAATAAGAGAATGATATAGTTATTGACATTGGACTTTTGACATGTTTGACCTCCAGACAAGATCCATATAATTTTTCTCTGAACTTTGGACCTTGTTTATGTTGTTTTATTTTTTTAAAGATTTATTTATGGCGTTTTATGCCTTTATTTGCACAGGACAGTATAGGTCGACAGAAAGCGAAGTGGGTGAGAGAGAGGGGGATGGGATCGGGAAAGGTCCGCGATTATATGACTCGATTCATCTGAAGTACGTATGTGTTAACCTGTGATGTGTGTGTGTGTGTGTGTGTGCATCTGGTGGAGGTGTCAGACTGGCCCGAGGCAGATCTGCAGCTGGGACAGGTGTCTGGTCTGGCTCTCAACTCTAATGGTGACCTGATCATCTTCCACAGAGGAGATCACATATGGGGAATTAAGTACGTTACGGAATATAAACCCACTCCAAACATTTAAGATTTCTCAACTAGAAGCTCAGAGGAAAAAAAAAAGAATTTGTGTGAGTGATAAAGTGTGAAGTGATGAACTGATGTAGAATTGAACTTTTATCTAGACATGTAACGAACACTGACTTTTTGCTCATGAAGTTGTCATTGTCTGACTCTTAACAATGTTAGTGTGTGATGAAAGGTAATTTAAAGACAGTGGCACCACTGCATTGTGTTCTGTAGCTTAAAAGAATAGTTCACCCAAAAATGAAAATTGTCATCATTCTCATGGGTCATTCAAACCCATGAGAATTTTGCTCATTTTTGGAGCACTATTAAAGATATTTTTAATGTTCTCATAATATTCTCATTCATTTTTGTCAGTCCATTGAACGTCGATGCAAGCAAACATTTTCAAGCTTTAAAAAGACATTGTAAATATAATCAAGCAGTTTAATCCAAATTTTCTGATGAGATTGTTTTATATGTTGAACAGATTTCATTTATGCCTTTTTTCACATATAAACACTGATCAATTATTTTTATGTTTGGGTTAACTATTCTTCTAAAGGGGTGAATTCTGCTTATGTAGAATATGTTGTGATGATATAATCAAGTTGTTTTCCCTTCCAGCTCCTTTAATTTCAATGGCATCTACCAGCAGAAGGATCTGGGTCCAATCCAGCAGTCCACAATCATGGTGGTGGATCCAGTCAAAGGAAAAGTGCTCAAAGCTTCAGGAAGAAATATGTAAGTCTATGAGATTCTGTTTTTGCACCATGTCTACACTTCGTGTTAGTTGCACAATGCAATTTACAGAGTGGAATTCTGCCATTTCTAATCAGTGAAGCTGCATTTGCACTGTAGACAGATTGTTTATAATAAGAACATGCAGTGTAGACACTGTACTGCTGTTTGCTGTATTTCCTATTTTTGATGCATCAATGAAATGTTTGTTTGAACAGGTTCTATATGCCGCATGGAATAACTACTGACAAGGACGATAATTACTGGGTGACCGATGTGGCACTTCATCAGGTAACGATGCTCAGATGAACTCAAGAAACAAGAAACTTAATGTAAAAGTGAAAAAGGAAAAAAAACCTTTGGAGAAACCAGGTTCATCCGGGAGGGTTAAATTGGCTAAGTTCAGGACAGTCCTGGATGGGTGGCAGAAAATGCATGTATGAATATCTATAACTTTTAATATCTATCAAATCCCAATATAATCATGATTTTTTTATTAGAGGTCCAGACAAAATAAGAATTATCACCTGAAAAGGTTCATTTGAAAAGCATTTGTGGTAAACAATAGAATTGAAATGAACACATCATAATGGTCAAGCCAAAATGTGACCCTGGAGCACAAAACCAGTCTTAAGTCGCTGGGGTATATTTGTAACAATAGCCAAAAATACATTGTATGGGTCAAAATTATCAATTTTTCTTTTATGCCAAAAATCATTAGGATATTAAGTAAATATCATGTTCCATGAAGATATTTAGTAAATTTCCTACCGTAAATATATAAAAACTTAATTTTTGATTAGTAATATGCATTGCCAAGAACTTCATTTGGACAACTTTAAAGATGATTTTCTCAATATTTAGATTTTTTTGCACCCTCAGATTCCAGATTTTCAAATAGTTGTATCTCTGCCAAATATAGTCATATCCTTATTTATTGAGCTTTCAGATGATGTATAAATCTCAATTTCTAAAAATTGACCCTTATGACTGGTTTTGTGGTCACAAATAATGTATCTGTATTCTGTACAAAAACATTGTATAATGTAAATGGCATAACTATGTAACTCAAGCACATTTTTTCTCTATATGTAGGTATTCAAACTGAGCAGCGACGGTAAAGATCGGCAGCTTCTGGTTTTGGGAGAAGCCTTTGAACCAGGAAGTGACAAGAAACACTTCTGCCAGCCTACAGATGTGGCTGTGGACCCTGTTACTGGAAACGTCTATGTCTCAGACGGCTACTGCAACTCCAGGATCCTCAAATTCTCACCAGAGGGCAAATATATCTCGCACTGGGGAGCAGGTACACTTATAAGCTCCTAATAGTTTCATGTTCAAAAGAACGTGTTGACATTGATGCAACGAGACAATACTTTTATAATGAGAAATACTTTGATATTGCTGCTAGGGATGATGAATTGAATCAGTAAGGCAGAACTATTTTGTTTCTCATCTGTTCTTGAATTTCTTTAGATCGTGGCATGATGTGTTGCTCTTTAAGCATGCTTCACTTTGTCAGACAGGTTCTTTTTAAGTGATTTCTTGATTCAGCTGTAATCAGGCCTGCGTGTGGCTAGAGAAATTGAGCTCAGCTTTCTAAAATAATGTGGTTAATCACAGTTCTTTCATGATTTAACAGGAGGGGGCAATTAATTTTTTTACGTAGTGCCAGGCAGGTTTGGACAGCCTTTTTCCCTAAATCGTCATTTAAAAACTGCATTTTGTATTTACTTGCATTATCTTTGTGTAATATTAAAATTAGTTTGATGATCTGAATCTTTTAAGTGTGACAAATATGCAAAAAATTAAGGAAGGGGGGCAAAAAACTTTTCATGGCAGCGTATGTTAATGGTTGTATTTTTTTTTCAGTATTCCTATCCATAAGGGTTTTGATGCATAATAGTAACCCTGGAATGTGATGAAACAGAGTTTCAAATAGCTGGGCTGAGATATATAACAACTGTTATGACTGCAGAAATATGTTAATTCAGTATATACACATTAACCCACCGGTCACAATTGTGACCAACCATAAAACACACTTTTTCACACACTTTTCAAAAAATAATCATTACTTCAAAGGGTTACTAATGACACCTCACCTGGATATTTTCATGTCTGAAAAATGTTTTGGATTAAACAGGTTGAGTCTCAGTTAATACTCATTCTCTGCTGATGGCACAGGCTCCTCGGACAGAAAACGGCGCGCTTCATTCTTGATCCCGCACAGTCTGACCTTCCTGCCCGATAAACAGGAGCTGTGTGTGGCTGATCGAGACCATGGACGCATTCAGTGCTTCATGGCAGATACCGGCGAGTTTGTGAAGGAGATCAAAAAAGAGCAGTTTGGAGGAGAAGTGTTCGCCATCGCATACTCGCCTGTCCAAGGTATGTGTGAAGAGAGCAGGTTACATCTCTCTACAGAGCAGATCAGTGTTGGTTTATTGGATCATCACGTTGTCATATTCATTTGAACAAAATATAACATTGAACGTGGACGTCATCTCCATCCTGTAAACCTTTGATTTATAATGTGAATACAGTACGTTCAAAAACATACTAATGCTTTGTTGTCTGTATGTTGTTAATGTGTGGTTTCAGGTGGTCTCATCTATGCGGTGAATGGAGTGCCTCCAGATGGGCAGGTCGCCCCCCTTCAAGGCTTTGTTATCAGTTATTCAAGCAAGGAGATCCTGGATTCCTTCAGTCCAGACGCACAGGTGCTGGTTACAGCTTTAACTCATATTTACACATTCAAAACACACACAAGACTCTGTCATTGACCTTACAAAGAACAGTTATTGATCACATGAAAAGCTGCTAGTGTGGATATGAACACATTTACGTAGTAGATGCTTTTAGCCACAACGATTACCATTACCATATTAGCAACATTCAGTATGGTGGCAGCCAGTGTTGGGGTACCGCATTACAAGTAACGCGAGTTACGTAATCAGATTACTTTTTTTCAGTAACCAGTAAAGTAACGCATTACTTTTTAATTTACAAGAGAATATCTTGAGTTATTTTTTCAAATAGGTAACGCAAGTTACTTTTTTTTTCAAATTTATTGACTGACAGCTCTCCTGTCCCCA